GATCAAAACGCGTTTTCTTGGCTTTAAAGGCTCAACTGCGCGTCATTTTAGAAGATAAACTGCACATACTATATCAGATATTGTCTATTATACCATAGTATATATAATACTTCAATACCAGAGCTATAGCATACTTTATTACAAAATTTGGGGCTTCTAACACGTGATTTCAGCTCTTACAGTGTAGCACCTCTAACACCCACCCAACTCAACAATTAGCTCGCGTGGCGTAATGGCAACGCGTCTGACTTCTAATCAGAAGATTCTGGGTTCGACCCCCAGCGTGAGTGCGTTTTATTTTTTGTTTCCCGTACCAATTTTTTTTTTCGTTTTTGGTAGTAAAATCCGTAATTTCCAAGCTTCCAAACAGCCGGTCTGAAAAAAAAAGTCTTGAATCTCCGTAAACAGGCCAATATTGTTTTTGTCTTGTCAGTGGTCACTCTAATTAAAGTGTGGTTTGGTTGAAAGAATTGTTCCTCTGTTCAACTGCTTAAGGATCTCTACCTAACTTATAGACGGACCTCTCTTTAGACTCCTTGGTGCGTCTCCCTGTGCTTATTGTTACTGTGCTTATCAGCCGTATTTAATACACCGAGCTGATAATCCCCACAGAAATTTAGCTTTTTTGCTTCGAGGGAATAAAAAAAATTTCCTGTAACGGCCATTACTATATAAAGTCATGAGTCAGGAAGGGCCTTGAATGATACTTTTATTACTCATTCTCCAGTTTTTCATTTATTTCTAATCAAGATACAATCTTTATAAAAGCTGTTGAAGGTTCCTTCGTTCAAAAATTATTTCTACTAAACTCAATAACAAGGAACACCATCATGACTAATAATCAAGCTGGTTTAGAGATTAATAAATCTTCAACTACATCTTCACAACAATTTGAAGATGTTGATATTGAAAAAACAAATTTACAACAACAAACTGCTTCACATGAATTGAAAACTGAATCTGAAAAAAAACTACAAACTGATCAATTAGCACAAGAATTAGGAATCAATGAACGGAAATTAACTTGGAAATTAGATGTTTGTATTGTTCCACCTTTTGTTTTACTATATTTCCTTGCATTTTTGGATAGAATAAATATATCAAATGCAAAAGTTTATGGTATGGCTGAAGATTTAAACCTAAAGGGCAATGAATTTAACGTTGCATTAACCATTTTCTTTGTTCCATATGTTTTTTTTGAAATCATTTCAAATCATTTAATGAAGAAAATTTCACCTCATATTTGGTTATCTGGTTGTATTTTATTATTTGGTATTGTTACATTAGCTATGGGATTTGTCAAGAATTATTCAGGTTTATTAGCATGTCGATTTTTCCTTGGTGTTTTTGAAAGTGCAACTTTCCCAGGTATTTTCTATATTTTGAGTACTTATTATACAGGAGCAGAATCACAGAAACGATTTAGTTCTTTTTTCAGTTGTACATGTCTTGCAGGTGCGGCTGGTGGTGCTATCGCCTTCAAAATCCATGATCTAGATGGAACTCATGGTTATGGTTCATGGCAATGGATCTTTATCATTGAAGGAACATTTACTGCTGGATTAGCATTTTTATTATTCTTTATTATTCCTGATTTCCCAGAAAATGCAAGATTTTTAAATGCAAATGAACGTGAATTTGTTAAAAGAAAATTAGAAATTCATTCAGTTTCATCAGGTTTAGAAATTAAATATAGTTTTAAAGATTCATTAAAATCTTTTAAAGATCCATTATATGCCCTTACAGCATTAGCTTATTTTGGTTTAATCATTCCTTCATATGGTTATGCATATTTTTCTCCAACAATCATTAAAGAAATGGGTTATACTGCACAAAATGCAAACCAACACTCAGTTTATCCATGGTTAGCTGCTTTTGGTTATACAAATATAATTGCAGTGATTTCAGATTTAACAAAATTAAGATCTCCATTTGCTATATCATCAGCATTAATTGCCATTGTGGGACTTTCATTAGTTTTAGGACTTGTTGATAATGCAAATGGTCGTTATGCTGGTTGTTTCCTTGTTGCAACTGGATTATATTCTTCAATGCCTTCATTAGTTTGTTGGACTGCATTGAATTTTGGTGGTCATATGAGAAAATCTTTAGGTACAGCTAATCAAGTTGGATTTGGTAATATTGGTGGTATTGTATCAACTTTCATCTTTTTGGCTGTTGATGCTCCTCGTTATGTTAAAGGTTTAAGTATTGGTATTGCTTTTACTGTTTTCAGTATCTTGATGATGTTGATTATGATTGGGATTTATCAAAGACGTAATAGTATTAAGAAGAGTGATGGTTATAGAAGTGAATATTTTAAACAAAGTGATAGAGATATTGTGTTGGGTGGTGATAAACATCCGGCTTTTAAATATTTATATTAAGAAGAATTTGTATTTGTTATACAATGAAAAGTTTCAATTTGATATATTGGGTTTGATTTTAAGATGTTTTAATATATGGTTTTGATTTGATTTGAATTGATGTAGTGATAACTGATGGGTGATTATTTGAAGGCAATATGCAAATTGAATATCAATGAATATCAATGAATACCATGGGGTTGTCATAAATGTTAAGCTTACTTTCTTTGGTATGATTGGTAGTTAATTACATGGACCGATGTGCTAATATACTAAGAACACATCATTCTTTGGGAAATCATGAACTCGACTCGGGTATGGAGAATTTGATGTAGTTTAGGATCACATTATCACATTAAAACATTCTATTTCAATCAAATACATAAGAAGCTGGGATATAGACCCTTCTTATAAGGTAGATTAATCGACACAACTTTCAAATAATGACTTCTATGAATTTACATCAAAATAAGTATACACATGCTCATGAATGAGATGATGCATTAATCGTGAGCTTAAAGATTAGACTATCCAGATACACAAGCTCATCACTCCTACATTCTTCAATGACTTGAAGCATACCAACAATCAATTGATCTTCAGACTTCTAATCCTTAAGTCCCTAAGCCATAATACCATAATCAAGATTCAACATACTATCTAATTTAACCAGTACCAAAAATTCCACCGAAGTGATACTTTATACACTTTTCATAACTTCTGCCTCCGATCAACGTACAGATCCTCGTAGATCTACACCCAGCATACCACAACTTACAAACAACATACCAAACTTGCATTTCGGCTCCAAGATTTCACTTTTAGTTACATTCCAATGAAAACAAAAAGCCGTAGATCACTTTAGTAATAAATTATTATAACCTCCGCGTAATTTTTGGCGTAAAAGTTTAAAGCGCTTGGCAGGTACCAAGATCTTATAATCGCTTTAAAGTTTAAAGTTCAAACTTTTCAACGGTTTTACATACAATTACAAACATCCTTTAGATAAATATGACCAGTGTTTCTTGGTTATGAAGTATATCTTTAGTTTAAACCTTGTTATAGTGACAAGTGGATTACAAGGATAACGTTCAAATTGATGTGGAATATGATCTTCTCTTTTGTCAAAGCACTAAATTCCACAAACTTATACACATATTCAAGCTCTTACCGAGGGTCGCTAGTAGCTACACAATTAAACCACCAACTTAAGTAAAGGGAAAGCTAATTAGAGGTTAGAGAAGCTCAAGAAAGCTAGACGGAATTAGAGTACAATGGAGATGTGGCATCATCAAATTATTAAACATCCAGCATGTGTTAAGGCTAAACTATGTAGAATTTGTTAGTCAAACAGTCGAGCGTTGAAAGTTGAAAGCCTTAGTGCTATTGAATTTGTGAAGGAAATTCCCTTATTGAGTAGTTCGTTTAAAGGCAATCGGATTAAGTTTTGGAATTATAGAGCCCAGAAATTCTGGATATCAAACATGATTACGTACTGTTTACTAGGCTCCAGTGCTTTTGTATTTTGTAGCTTGTAGTTCCTTTTAGTACGTGAAAAACTTTTTCATAATCCGAGGTAGATCATTTAGTAATTCTCTACAAATCCAAACAACCCACCATGACGTCTAGTTTCTGGAAACAAATGGACTTTTTAGAAGCTGGTAGTTGCTAGTTGGCAGTTGTGAAGAAGTTACGAATCTTTTGAGAATCGCATATCTCGTCGATTATGTTACTTGAATCAAATAATTATGTATGAGGTATATCTCACATATGTACGTTCTGTACAAAATTGAAAGTTCTTCATCATGAAGCATCCAAAAAAATAAAAGAAAACAAGTGAGAAATGAATGGAGTTCACGCTTCCAAGGCACAAATATCCCACATGCAATCCATCGTTGGACCCTATTGGCCTCATTTTGTATGATTTGATTTAAAGGGCATCTTTGCTGGAAAAAAATGGTATTAGTTTTATACTTGTATTCAAATACCATCTAAAATTACGTTACAGACTACAGTTCAAACTCCATACCAAAAAGTATAAGCGGTGTCAAACACAGATGTACAATGTATGCTCATAGGTCTAACCTTCTCTTTGGGATTGAAAATTCTAAATTGATTAATCTTGCATTTCACTTTAATCGGTAACACAGTTTTTAGAACAGCCATGCATAGAGGTTATTTAAACCTCTTGAGATCCACTAATTATGATATAATTTATATTCAAACTATGATGATACAACTTTGGGTCAAACGTGGTTCAAAAGTTGTATTAAAACTTTTCTTCAAATCATAACCATAGTACACCACCACATTCAAGATTCTTCCAACAAAACGTAATTCAACTTATCAAAAAATGGTATACTTGAATGAGACATCATCAGGTATAGATCCACATGATAGATTTGACCAAGAATTATATGGACAAGATGGATTTGAAAATGATTCAATGGATGATAGAGAATCTTTAGATTTTAAACCAGATGCTGAACGTATTCAACAAACAAATGATTTAGCTATTGGTTTAGGGATTGATGAAAAAAAATTAACTTGGAAAGTTGATTTATGTGTTGTTCCTCCATTCATTTTACTTTATTTTCTTGCGTTTTTGGATCGTATCAATATATCAAATGCAAAAGTTTATGGTATGGCGGAAGATTTACACTTGAAGGGTAATGAATTCAACGTTGCATTAACAATTTTCTTTATTCCTTATGTGTTTTTCGATGTTATTTCAAATTATATGCTTCAATTAGTTCAACCTCATATTTGGTTAAGTTGTTGTATATTTTTATTTGGTATAATAACATTATGTATGGGATTTGTTACAAATTATTCAGGTTTATTAGCATGTCGGTTTTTCCTTGGGGTATGTGAAGCTGGTATGTTCCCTGCATGTTTTTATTTACTTTCATTATATTATACTGGTGCTGAATCACAAAAAAGATTTTCTATTTTCTTTAGTTGTACTTGTTTATCAGGTGCTGCTGGTGGTGCTATAGCTTATAAGATTCATGAATTAGATGGTAATCATGGTTATGCCTCATGGCAATGGATTTTCATTATTGAAGGTACTGTTACTGCAATTCTTTCATATTATTATTCTTTATAATTCCAGATTTCCCAGAAAGTTCAAGATTTATGACTTTAAAAGAAAAAGAATTCATCAAAAGAAAATTAGAAATTCATTCAGTTGAATCAGGTTATGACGTTACATTTAATTGGAAAGATATTATCAAATCATTAAGAGATCCATTATATGGTCTTACATCATTAGCATATTTTGCCTTAGTTATTCCTTCATATGGTTATGCATATTTTTCACCTTCAATTATTGCAGAAATGGGGTATACAGCAGTTAGTGCAAATTCACATTCAATTTATCCATGGTTAGCAGCTTTTGGTTATACAATCGTATTGGCATATATATCAGATTCTATGAAAATTAGATCACCATTTGCAATAACTTCAGCATTATTAGCAATCACAGGGTTAGCTTTAGTTTTGGGATTGAAGGATCATGTACAAGGTAGATATGCTGGATGTTTCCTAACAGTAGCAGGTCTTTATTCAGCAATGCCTTCATTAATTTGTTGGACAAATTTAAATTATGGTGGACATATGAGAAAATCTGTTGGATCTGCAACACAAATTGGATTGGGTAATATTGGTGGTATTATTGCAACTTTTGTTTATTTACAACAAGATGCACCATATTATACTAAAGGTTTATCAGTAGGGATTGCATTTTGTGTTGTTAGTATTTTCACTATGATTTCAATGATTTGGTTTTATAAATATAGAAATGATTGTAAAAGAACTGAAGATTATAGATTGGAATTTTTTGCTCAAGATGATAGAACTATTGTTTTGGAAGGTGATAAACATCCAAGTTATAAATATTTATACTAATCATATATTGCAATATGATAATTGCCATGGATCTATCACTGAGGTCCACTTTATTAATATCTTAATACCTCCTTTATTTCACATATATTAATGTTTTTTGTATTTATTTACTTATGGTGTGCATGGTTTAATTGAATGTCGGTTTTTTTGTATTCGGTTATTGAATATGTAGGATAATTATCTCTTTTAATGAATCAATATTATAGACTACAATTCCCATATTAGGTATAACAAATATCAATCATGTACATGTTTACATAATCAAAGAAATCAAATATGATAAGAACACGATTTTCAGAAGTTTCAATACTCATTTAGTTGACACCTTAGCTCACTATTCTTTCTTAATGAAGTTTATTGGAGTGTGTTTTATTTGAATCTTAATAGTGGTTTGCATCAAAAAATACATCTATTGTGTTATTCAGAAGAGATGAAACACGCTTGTGGAGTTTGATTCGACATCTTAATGATTTCAGAAAAGTTTAAATTTAGGTTGAGCACATGAATACAAGAGTAAAATTGGGAAGTAAATTAGGAGAATAGGGGTATAAAGTTTTATGAATAATTAAAAGCTTTATATAAAGGTTTTAAGATGTCTTAATTAAATAACTCACAGGTACTTCATGGATCAAGTACGTGCAATCAAATTTTCAAAATTAAGATGAAATTTGAAGACTTACCGTTTGAGATAATTCAAATAATTGTTAGTTATCTGATATCACCATCTGATAGAATATCACTCCATAATTCATCATCTTTCTTGAAAAAATTCGTTAATTTAGATGGCCATACAGTTGTTCTAGCTCTTCATGCACAACCACGTTTAACAGTTTTGAAGTATGGAAAAAGAACGCGTGATCCACAAACTATCTATGATGGGATATATCGTGGTTCACCAAAAACTAGCAACGACAGTGACTTATCTGAATGTAAAAAAGAAGTTTCTATATTTGAACGTCACATGGGACAATTCAATGTTATCAGAGTTCATTGGTCTTTGTTGTTTGATAAGTCTGGCTACATCAAAAAATTTATCATTCCCCAGATTTTGGCCAGAACTTATGGGTATTCTCTAATATTTGAGATAGCTTTACATTTTGGGGGCTGTTATCATTATAGAAAGAAGTTTGGTCTTTTGGGACCTTCTGAATTTTCGACTATTGACAAGTGCTTAAATGGTATCTTTTTATCTGCTGTTTCAGACTTTGATCCTCCTGACTTTATGAAAGGTTCTCATTTCAGGTATCAAGAATTACCTTCAGGTGAGTATGGAATCAAGACTTTTATTCTGAGAGACATCATTGGGCTCAAGTTTGATCAGAAGTATTATCCGCGTATGTTTATTGAAGCTGATCCGCCAAACCTTAAGACTCTGAAGATTATTTGCCAATTTACATATTGAATTTGAATTCTCTTATTTCAAAAATATGATAATACATGTGAACTATATATGATGTTTTCCAACTACAGGGCTTCAGATGTATTCACTGCAATGAACACAGATTATGATGGGCATTTTATTGGGTGAATGGTTATGGACCACTTTATTCAAGTTGAATCCAATACATCAAATTTTTAATTTCGATTATGATGTTCTTTCAAGGAAAGTCCATGGATGTTTATGCCTTCTATATAAACTACAAACTGTATTTTGAAGACTAAACATTTACATTTCTTGTTGAATAAAGCTCTATCGTTCCGTAAATTCTACATGTAGTTATCAACTTTAATATCAAAAGATCAATACTCAAGATATTATAATGATACTTTTAGGTATTGTTCCCCAAGGTCAACCATTAATCAGTAATCATCAATCTCAAGCAGCATATATTTCAACCAAAGTATTTAAATTCTCACTAAACAGAAAGGTATATTGAAGCTCAATATCATAAAGTAAACACGTCTATTCACCATGTAGAAAAAAAAAGCAACATCTGAAAAGTTTTCTTAAATCTTCAACTTTGGAACTTTGAAAAGAAATACTTACTGTCCAGCTAGAGATCTTTAGGTCCCTGGGACGCTATCCAACAGTTCTTAAGTTCCCAACATAAAACCTAATACTTTGATGAAAGGCGTCCCAAGCCAGGTTAAAAGCCCACTGCAAGACATGAACGAATCCATATCAAGCAGTAATTGTTGGTGTCCCTTCACTGGACAAAATTGTAAATTACCAACCATATTTATCAAATGCTAACAAATTATTCGATGAATTTCGTAAGAAGCATAGCATCCACTTTGGAAAACATGTTCAGGTAAACAATTAAGTTTAAAATTAATAGAGAAAATTAAATTCACATTCGCGATAAAACCTCAAAATTCCATCACGTGAGATTTTTGACAGCTGATGTCAAACTTTACGCTGATTAAAGTAAGGGAAGAGTGCTTTATTTGAGAGTTAGGTATGAATGTAAAGATCACACACTCTGCTACTCAGTCAGCTTTTTACTGGTTTATAACGGTATTACATGCTGGAAATATTCATAATTATAGTTTCAATTAATTAGTACTTTATCAATTCGCGCCTGAATTTTGTTAGGGCCTCAAATGATTTGTACTTGGAAGAATTTGTACTCATAATTAACTAATTCTACTTGTGATGGTATTCCTTCAATACAATTGTACGAAATATTACAGAAGATGTTGAACTGACCCTGGATAGTGTTGAAACTTGGTATTTAACATTATGTTTATCACGTCAAAGTTATCACTTGAACAGCTTTTCAGGTGAAGTATGTCGCCGATATACGCATTATGCATCCGACTTCAACAAATGAACGCGTTCAAATTTAGTTTGTCGAGATCTACGTGAAGATAGATCAATAACCGATACTTTTGAACTCAATAATCAATTCATCAGCTATGAGTTACTCACTCAAGTTACTCTTCAAAGTATCAATAGGTTTCTGGTTGATAGTGTGTTAAGTCTTCCAGGTGTCTATGACCTTCAATGAAGTTAGCACAGGGATCACGAAATTATCATGCATCATTTTAAGGACGATCATAAAAGCTTCGACATTTTAAATCCTGATTCCTGATTTGTCCAGCGGCTTTATTTTCAAGTATCAAACGACCATTTCCACTATATATTTATTTGGAACTGCTCATTATGATAGCAAGAACTCTAAGAATGAGTCCTCCACTTATCAAGATCCTTCAAAATGTCTTTGAACTTCAAATATGTCAAAGATAAATCAGAAAAAGCTTTGGCAGACCTCTCCAAGAAGTTGCAAACTGGGCATGCAAGACGTATGGGTGGTACTGAAAACCATTTCGCCATGTTTCAAAGATTGAAAATATATCAATCTTATCATATTAGTGCAACTTATGATCGTGAAGTCGTGGATCCACAATTGTTATTCAAATCATTAAGAAATATCATAGTGAAGAATCCATTTTTAGCTTCTGCTGCTGTCACTCAAGATATTCCATATGAGATTAAACCAAGACCAAATGATTTTTTGAAAGTTTTAGATCAAGTTAAATTTGATGATTTAGTATGGGATTTAAGAACAGAGCTTAAAGGATTACCATTAAATAAAATATCTGAAAATTTAAATCATCGTATCTTACCATATGAAGATGGGAAATTATTTTGGAGAGTAGGTTTAATTGATAATAATACCTTAGCATTCATGACAAATCATGTTGTACATGATGGTATCACTGCAAAGAATTTTTTCCATGATTTGACTCAAGAATTCAATTCCAAGGATCCAATTGAACCAGTTGATATCAAAAATACACCTTTATTTGATTATTCCAAAGACATCACTTCAAAATCATTGATCCCATCATCTGCAGAATCAATTATTGATTATACACCACCAAATTGGTATTTACCAGAATTTTTAACAAATTTATTCATAGTTAATAAGATTGTTGATCAAACACCAAGTAAACCAAATGAAGGTTCATATTTCCATACTTTTAATATAAACAATGAACAAATCTCTCAAATCAAATCCAAACTAGCCAAACATTCAGATCCAAAAGGTTCAAGACTAACAATAACTTCATATTTGCAAAACGCATGGCTACATACTGGAACAAAATTAAAACTTTATAAAAATCGTTTAGGTTATTCCGGGTTTGTTGTCCCAATTGATGCAAGAAGATATTTCCCATCAGATACACCACAAGAATTATATAGATATGGTCTTAACACTTCAGGTTTTGTTGTTCATCAATATCCAGTTCCAGAATTAAAGTGGAAAACCATATCAACAATTGATAAATATCTTAAAAAACTTGTTAATACCAAGAGATCAATATTCGCTACTGGGTTTTTCTCATCAGAAAAATTACTTAAAGATAAACATCTTGATGTTGATTTCCTAGAAACATCAAAGTTTCAGTATAGAGGTGGTACAATCTTAACAAATATCGGTATAATGGGATCAAATGAATTAGTTAAAGATGGGTATAATATTGTGGATAGTGTATTTTCTCATCATGTTAATGGATTGTTTTATGATTTTTCAATATTGACTGTTAGTACTAAGGCAAATGGATTAAATTTTGTTATTAGTGCACCAAAGAGTACAGGTCAAGAAAAATTAGATCAAGTTGGTGAGGAGTTTAAAAAAATTATACTGAGTGATGATATAGTATAGAAGGATGTTATTTAATAGAATTTTAATAGAATGTATTCATCTCGATGATTTCTTGAGTCGTAGAGGTATATCATACGTTTATTGGGTTTTTGAAAATGGATAAATGCTTGGATTAATGATAACTCATGGTATTGTTCCTTGATGGTCAACCAAGCAGTATCTGCCTTATTATTTACCAATTACTATTTTGGTTTAGACTATTTCTGCTGGTCTAATCCTTGACGCACATTATGTTGAAGTTGGCGCTGGTGAGCTAAACCATATATTTATTGTGCGGGCAGTATTTTCAACTTTCAAGTTATAACTTATCACCATTAAGCAGCTCAAAGCTTTAAGCTATCAAGCTATCAGATCTAAGATATGCATTAATATGCATCCCACTATCACACTTCAACAAATAAATCCGTTAGTTCAAACTTCAGCGTCGTGATCATCTGCGTGACGATACAGCAATAGCCAGGTACTTCTGAGTTCAATAATCAATTCTTTCATAAGGTATACTTCAAAGCGTGAATGCTGTGTGATACTAGTGTGTAGTCTTTGAGGTAGAGATTTATCACTTGAAACCCTAGCACTGATGACCATATAGGCATATAGGTCCGACATATTTCTTGGGCTACAATTTTGTATATTGAAACTTGAAAGTGTACATCAACACATCAACAATTTTTTGAGAGCTGGTACATCTCTACTTTCAGGTATCAACAAAGGTAGTACGGTACTTACAAGGAATATAGGATACAAGATACAAGGATCACAAAATTGTCATGCATCATTTGGAAAGCTTTAAAGACAATCAATCGTTCAAGATTGAAAGCTTCGAAAATCCGAATCCTAAATTATGCGGTGTATTCATTATCAATCATCTAGTTGCAATCCTCACTATATATTCTTTTGGAACTGCACATTATGATAACTGGATTCAAGTATCATGAATGAATTATTCATCAAAATTCTTCAAAATGTCTTTGAACTTGAAATATGTCAAAGATCAATCAAAAAAGGCCCTTATAGACCTTTCCAAAAAGTTACAAAGTGGACATGCAAGACGTATGGGAGGTGCTGAAAATCATTTTGCCATGTTTCAAAGATTAAAACTATATAAATCTTACTATGTTAGTGCAACTTTTGATCGTGATATTATTGATACTCAATTCCTTTTTAGATCATTGAGAAATGTTATCGTGAAGAATCCATTTTTAGCTGTAACTAGTGTCACTCAAGAGGTTTCATACCAAGTCAAACCAAGACCAAATAATTTTTTGAAAGTTTTAGATCAAATAAAATTTGATGATTTAGTGTGGGATTTAAGAACAGAGCTTAAAGGGTTACCAGACAATAAAATCTCAGAGAACTTGAACCATCGTGAATTACCTTATGAGGATGGGAACTTACTTTGGAGGTTAGTATTAATTGATAATAATACATTAGCATTTATGACAAACCATATTGTTCACGATGGTACTACTGCAAAGAATTTTCTTCATGATTTTACCCAAGAATTTAACTCAAAGGATCCAGTGTTTGAGCCTGTTGATATAAAACTTAAGCCATTATTTCATTATTCTAATGATATGACCCCAAATTTTATAATCCCTAAAGCAGGAGAGTTCATTATTGATTATACACCACCAATTTGGTTTTATCCAGAATTTCTATTAAATTTCCTTATAGTGACAAAGTTCTGTGATCAAACACCAAGATTATCAAAAGAAGTTTCCAAATTCCATTTATTCAATATATCCAATCATCAAATCTCACAAATCAAGGCTCGTTTGTCCCAGAACTCAAATAATGGATCAAGAATAACTTTAACTTCATATATTCAAAATGCATGGCTTCACATAGGGACAACCTTTCCTCTTTACAAAAATAATATGAAACTTTCAAATATCATCTTACCAATTGATATAAGAAGATATTTCCCCCCTGAAGTTCCACAAGAATTGTATAGATATGGTATGAACATTGCAGGTTTAGGAATTCACCAATATCCAGTTCCAAATCTTCAATGGAAGAAAATTCGTCAATTGGATAGATATTTGAAAAAAGACATAAATTCTAAGAAATCAGTATTTGGAACTGGTTTTATGATTTCTGAAAAATTTATAAAACATAAACATCTTGATATTGATTTCCCCAATTCATCAGAGTTTAATTATAGATCAGGTACTTTATTAACAAATATTGGTATATTGGGTTTGGAAAATTTTGGTGATGGGGGGGGTATAATATTATAGATAGTGTTTTTTCAAGTCATCATAACAATGGGATGTTTTATGAGTATTCTATTTTTATAGTTAGTACTAAAGCTAACGGATTGAATATTATGGTTAGTACTACCGATAACATTGGACAAGAAAGGCTAAATCAAGTTTGTGAGGAATTTAAAAAAATTATCTTGAGTGATGATATAGTATAAAAAGATAGAGTAGTTTAATAGAGTTGGGATAGATTGAATTCATATGGATAATTTCTTGAGTCGTAGAGGTATATCATACAATTCATTGGGTTTTGAAAATGGAAAATACTTGGATTAATGATATTTTATGGTGTTGTTCCTTAATGGTCAACCAATATTTATCAATTCCAAGTAATATATGTATATTTCAACCATGGATAATTTAAATATCTACTAAACAAATGATCATCCTATTGCTTGAATAAGACAATGGAATAATCTGAATAGTTGTTATTCAATTTTCACCAAGATTTTGAGTTATATAAATTAGATTTCTCACCCATGTAGGAAATAAAACAAATCAATGCCATAGCTGAACGATCAATTGGTACCATTAAACCATTCAGAATTATTATTAGGTCAAAACTTTATAGTCTTAAATCAAGTCAATCGGGTAATTCAATTACTCAGAAACAAAATACAACCAACCACTCTTAATGATCATAGTAAACAGAACAGCTAAATTGTTCAAGAAATTCGTATCAAAAGTTAAAACATTCATCAATATAATCCGGGTAATGTCCTCTAAAAGAGCTGCTGCTGCTGCTGCGCTAGTAGCTAGTAGTAGTAAATATGTAAATATACGTACTGATCAATTAGTTGTTCAAAACTTAGTTTTATCAGAGTTTCAGCAGTATATGGGTATCCCAAAGCTAAAGACATAACTTTCAAGCGCATAAAAGATGAAGCTTTTTTGAAGACCTTTCTTAAAATCTGAAAGCTGAACATAATGATTAGTACTCCGGAAAGTACTGAACATGGAAGAGTCCTGTTTAGTGATGAAATAGAATAAGTGTAGAAAGATTTAATTTTAAATTGAAATATAGAATATGGTGTAAATTACTCTGATTTTCATGTAAAAAATTGAAAAAGCTTGAGTTAATGATTATTTGAATGGTGTTGTTCCTTGAAGGTCAACCAATGGATATAATCATATTCAAGCATCATTTATTTGATCAAAATACTAAAAACAGATTAAGATAAAGATAATCTCAAGATTAATGTTTTCAGTTATTTATTACTTCATTTACATATTGCAATTTATCATTATTTGAAAACTGTTTCCAAATTCCAAGATTTAAATGATAATATCTTATCAACTTTAAGGGTTTATGAAGTTAATGGATTTCATAAATTGAGAATAATACCAAATTTGAACATGATTTAAGTGACCTCATATGGTATAAATCAAACGCATAATCTAGCTTAAAGTATATCATCATATCATCTTCAATAATCAATAATACAGCTAAATTAATAATTGACTATGTGGTCACTAGGACAAAAACTTGTTATACTCTGAATCAAATATAATCAGAGCCTTTACCATTAAATCATTCACTCTTCTCAATGGGTTTTGTGACATCATTCACTCCTTATAAATTATAGATTAAAAATATCTTTGTTGGTTATTTGTCATGAAGTCATGAACTCATTTTTTAATTAAGGTTGTCTGAATATATTTGATCCGTCCACGAATTCTTATATCAATAATGTAGAGTTCATTAGTATATAGTTAGCTATTAATTATCTACAATTCTAGTTTCTATCTGGAAAGAAAATTGAAATTAAAGCAATAATGCCTTTATAATAATACAAAAATACTTATAAAAATCCAATAACCTTCAGTGTTCTTTTTAATTCAAATTTATATCTGTTAAACAGTTTCATGTGGAACATTTGATCTTGGAGGTGGTGCAGGACTATTATTTCCTCCATGAGCTGTTGGAGGAGGTGCTCTAATATCATGTGTATTTGTTCTTGTCTGTTGTTGTTGTTGTGGATTTGTTTGTTGTAATTGAGGTTCATTATAACCAGCCGTAGCAGGTTTTAATGTTTCATCATTCCCATTTTGATCTTTATTTTTATGACCAAACCAACCATGATGTTTTTTAGTTGTATGATCAGTTGAATATTTTTGTCTTAAATAAGCTTCCAATATTAAACAATTTCTTGAATTTGCCTTATATGCTATATTAACAATATCACCAACAATTGGAATTAATCCAATACCAAAATCAAAAGCAATATTTCCACTCATTTGAGTTTCAAGATAACTTGGTAATCCACCATCAATTTCTTTAGCTTTTTTCAATAATAATAGAGCAAGATATGCAGCAATAAAATCACCAATCCATGGGATTAATCCAATAATACCAGCCCAACCGATTCTGAAACCGCATAATGATAATGCTAAATCAAGATGATAAGCTCTTCTTCTAACACTTTTTAAGACTTTTTGATCATTTGGAGAGAGATTTGGTGGTAATGCCTTTTTTCTCTTTGCACCATCTCTTTGATAAAATTTTAATTCTTCATGGGGTATCTGGATATTAGTTAGTTAATGTACCATATCAATTTGACATAAATTATACTCACTTCTTCAAAAAATGGATCTTCTTTACCAACATCAATTTTACCAATTGACTAAACATTCTTGTTAATACTTAATACCCAGTGTAATTAATACCCATGAATACATACTTTACCAATGGCCCACTTTACTAGGAAACTCATGGCTTTATAACTTAAGAAATGTATCTAGTGTATATAATTGAAGTATAATACTTTATAAATCAACTATATTTTTATTATTTTATATGATTAGATGCTAAATTGCTAATTATGGGCAGTACCTGCAGTGTCTCGATTTCTCAAGATGATTATGAAACGAAAATGCAACGATGAAATTTTGACATTCGCGGGTGAGTTTTGGGATAAAAATGGAAAATGAAATTGAACTTACTAGTTGTGATACTAGGTCTATGTTGGGTAAACAGCTTGCATAATAGCTAATAGTTCACGTTCGGTAATCCTATATCTAGTTTGAGTATTGGATAAAGTGATACGGTGAGGCTTATCTGTTTTTAAAAAGAGTGTGAAGAAATATCAAATATCACTAACAAATTAAGAGATTGAATCCAAGTCTATAGGGTTGATTATCATGGGCCATGACTTCGATTTTTTTGTTTCAATACCGTCGAATGCCATAAACCATTCTAAGATAATATACAAATAACAAGCAATTTTATTCATAACGTTCTATCATACAACGATCTTGATTAGATGTTTGCTTATTCAAGAATTATATCTTATATTTTAAGTATAATATACATGCCAATCAAATAATTGAAATATTTCAAGATTGATACGTTTCAAATGAACGAGTACAATATCTTGTGATTACTTTTATGTTGGTTGGCTTTAATTGTTTTTTGAAGTACAGATATTGTAGATTTATAATTGTATTATCCACAGTTAACGATTTGGATTGTCGAAACAGCTAAATCTTTTATAAACACTTGGTATGAATAAATCTTACTTATAATATATATACAATAACCTTGGCTGCTGGATGTCATTTCAAAAGCTTCCATAATTTTCAAAATTGTCATTAATCTTTATATTTAATTACATAGCTCAAATCAAGTATCTTAACTCATTCAAATATCTGATCAGATCATCTCAAATCTGATGTCAAAAATCTCAAATATGCTTTAATTTTGAATGTTTTATAACCTCTCAACTATGAAGTAAATCTACAATATATCATTTACTATTTTTCTTCTTTCTTAAACACCTTATTGATCTATTATCGGACTGTCGGACTTATAATTAATCCCCGAAATGTATAAGCATTTAATATTATGTAAGCATTGTAACATAACTAATTAATTATCTCATTGTTTCCATAGACAGTATACACAAATTTTCCTAGATATATATATCAAAATACTCAAATTAGTTTTCAGTGGTATAGCTTTTATTGAATTTAAACAACTAATTTTTTCACAAATTTTTCAATTTCAAAAATAAAATGTACATCCAAATTTTTAATTCAATTTTAAAAATAAATTTATTAAAAAACAACAAAATTTCAAACTCTCCAAATCCACTTAATTCTCTAATCATCCAAATATCAAAGATATTTCAATTCTTATAAGCTAGTAAAATCCATATATTTACTATAAAAACTCTAAAGTTTCATGTTTTATAATTTTGATAATCTTGATTACATAATCACATAATAAAATTCAATATAATTTGAACAAACAACTATATGATTAATATTTGTATTACATATATACTTGACGTTTAAATGATATACATATTGGTATCTAGGAAATTATTCATGAATAAAAAAATTGTATTAATGATATGATCCCTTCAATGTTGTGGACGTACGTTATGAATTAGACTTTATTATCTTTGAAATTTTGTACTTACTTCAATATAAGGCTACACAACTTTATAAACTTTTTGTTCTTAATAACAATAATAAATTCTTTATATATTTATTTATAAAATTTTATATTTTATAATTTTAAAAATCTCTAGCTAATCCACAAAAACACCTCTAAATTCAAATATACTTCAGCTCCCAACGCAACAAGGGGTAACCTAAACAGAAGAAACAATATCATTAGCATGTTTTAAAACTTCAACCATTTTAATACATTCTAATCTTCTTTGTTTAGTAATTTCATTTTCTTTAACTAAATCATTTAAATCATTTGAACCATATAATTTTTCTAATAAAATTTTTTGAATTTCATTCTTGGATCTAACAATTAATTTTAACATTATAGATTTTGGTATTATATCAGCAATTGTTCTTTTCACGATTGAAAAATAACTTTGAATTAATAATTTTATAACCTCGGTTTCTTGAGTTTCTCTATCTGTCATTACTCCTGATGCTTTTAATATAGTTGGTGGTGCTTCCATTGCTGCTAATCTTTTTTTATTTTTTGATGAAAAAAACCCACCGAAAAATCCACCTTGATTTGAATCTTCATTTATTGATGGTGCAGGAGATGAATTTGATGGTAATGGTTTACCTGTCTTAGGGTCAACTGAAACTTGCTTTGGATGTAATTTTTCCTGGACAATAGCCATAGCTTGAGAACCTTTTAATAAATCTGGATGAGCAGTATTAATATAAGTTTCTTCAGCTTTAATAATATCAATAATGAATTGATTTGTTGGTACAAGAGCCGTTCTTAAAAATTCAATAAAAGAATTTGATAAATTTTCTTTTAAAGCAGGATATCTTGAATATTTTGGATTTGATAAAATTTGAGTTAAAATTCTAACTAATTCATCAAAAATTAAATTAATACAACGTAATGAAGGTTCTTCAAATCTATGAATTTGTTGTTTAACTAAAACTTCAAAAGCTTGAGTACCAACAAATAATGAAGGAGAAGCACCAGAACTATTATACATTATAGTTCTAATATCAGTATCTTTAATTTGATCAAATGGATCTAATGCATTAACACCATTTTTATAAATTTCATGGAAAACAAATGAAATTCTTGCCCCACCACTTAATTCTAAACTTGATAATTCTTTTGCTTCACCATCCAAGATACCATTATAATCTTTACAAAAATCTGTAATTATACTTAGAACAATTGAATTTGGTGAATCCATAGTTTCTGGACCTAATGCAACTAATTCATTTTGATATTTTTTCAAAGCGGTTTCAATTCTTAATTTAATTTCTGGTAATGTTTGTTTAATATGATGTAATAATATGGAATTTAATTTTTTAGCTAAATATGGAGTACCACAATAATGAGCTTTTGATCTATATGAAGAATGATTTTCGAAAAAACTTTTTTCATCACTTAGAGCGTCTCTAATTGTTTTTTTTTGTTCAATATCCTTTTGACCTCTATTTATAACTGGAACATAACCATATCTAAGTGGGATAACACGACCAGCCAAGATATCAATAACATCTGTTCCTTGATCCATAAGATCAACTTTTGTTAAGACACCAATAGTTCTTGTACCTTCTGGGTCAACTTCTCTTGCTAATTTTAACCCATCAGAATTTGCTAAATCAGTATTTGCAGCGTTAACAGAAAGAATAATAGCATTTGGTTTTGAAATGAATTTTAATAACATATCTTTAATTTGTTTTTCAATATCTTTTGGTTGATCACCCACTGGAACTTTTGTTAAACCTGGTAAATCCACCAAAGTTAAAGTTAAGACATGAGGTGAATAAATTCTTAAATTAATTGGTACTGATGAAATACCAGCATTTTTACCAGTTTTAGCTTCAGTTTCTTTAACAATTTCAGATCTAATTTCTTCAAAATTGAAAAACTTCTTATTTGGAATATGTAAGAATTCACCCCATTCTTCAGCATTATCTTCAGATTGACCTTTAATTTCAGAATTTGAACTTAAATTTAATAAATCTTGATTTGATTTTGTCTTTGTAGGTCTTCTATTAACCAATTGTAAGATCAAAGGTCTTCTTGTCACGATACCAGTACCTCTTGGTAAGAAATCTCTACCAACGATATTTTCCAATACAGAAGATTTACCAGAAGATTGAGAACCAACAACGGTGATTTGAGGTAAATCCACAGGAGAAGCAGAACCACCACCTAATGGAGCCAAAGCGTCTTGTAACTTGTTGATAGTAGAGATCAATGTTTCATCCATTGTTGATGTATTTGATCTAGTTGATGTTGTTGTTGTTGTTGATTTAATGGGAGGCAATTGAACAAGAATTTGATTTTGATTTTGTTGTCAACTAAAAAAAAAACATTGGGAATTGTCCGTTTTAGGAAATATCGGTATTGGGTAATAAGCATTAAATTGAATCAATTGAAGAAAAAAGGAAGAATAAGTAAAGGGATAATAATAAGAAGAAGTATGGAATATGTGAAGGATATGTGTTCTATTGTATAGAGTTGATTTATTGTTCATTATGTACAATTGTTGATCTAGAATTGTGGTTATAATACTATAGTATAATACAATTAACGTTAAGTAATCGATGCAACCAAAAAGTTAGTGATATACTGATCACTTTAATAGTAAACCAAAAACCAATTAACACCTCAAAACAGGTAATTTCCATCATAAAACACGAATCAATTGATTTCTCTCTTATCAATTTATTGGAATCCTTTACAATTGTTTAAAAAGTAAATCAAAACAAACGTGTATAAACCAATATCCTCAAATCATATAAAAAATGGTAAACAAAGAATCAATTTACATTCAACCTTCTTTATAAACAACATTTATATCGTTTGACAACTACCACTGATTCATCTTTGTATCTAGATGGTTATATTTTTAATTTAGAATGTTTCTGACTATCGGATTGATTGAAGTATCCGTGTATGGTCCCTCATTCATTGTGTGGATTCGTCAATTGCTTTTGATAACTTCAAGTTGTTTTGACTGACCACATATCACTGTCTAATTTGATTTGTACTTTGCTCTTTATCCATCATGAAATAACAAGTAGGTATATTGTACTAACAATTATAAACAATGATATGAATGAAATAATCAAGATTTATATCAAGTTCTTATTACTATAATACAATTGAAAACCAATGATATTTAAGCTATGTATTCAATATGGTCCCAAAAGACTTTAGTGTTGATCATCTTAATACATATTGGTTTGATATTTTTGAAAACAATGTAGTATATACCTTATATCTAATAAAACATCAACACCACTACCAATTAATAGTAATATAATATATTATAAACTAGTAATTACTTAATAAATTGTATTTCAAATGGTTATTGTGATTACTCATCACTGACATACTCCACCTATAATTTCTTCGCGAATGTGTTTTATAAATTGTTTAGTTTTTCATAAGCCTCTAAAATTCAACTTTTTTTGGGAATTGTTGCTTTAATAAAGAAACCACTAAATTTTAGTTTCAATTGATATTCATTTTTAATTGGTTTGATTGATATTAATATTAAACAATTTGGTGATCATAGACTGATCATATAATAGAACTAGTGGGAATACATTGGATAAACAATTGGTTTTCTTTCATTTCAATAGTTTAAAGATACCACTGGGACGGAATAGTTTGACACTAAATTATATCCATTCATAATCAAAATCATAAATATCAACAACAACAACAAACTAGAATCAATTAAATAATAGAATAAACCCATAAACAAACCGATATTTTATCTTATACAATTAAATCAACAACACAATGTCTTTATCAAAACTTAAATCAAAATTAATTGTTAAAGAAGACCCTGAAACAGTACAATCACCAAAAAATCAATCTCATCAACAAAATGATAATTCACAAAATACAGAAGATATAGATGAAGTTGATGACCAAGGACAAAGTGTTCTTATGGGTATTATTTCTCAATTAAGACCAGGTTGTGATTTATCAAGAATTACATTACCAACTTTTATCCTTGAAAGAAAATCAATGTTGGAAAGAATAACAAATCAATTACAACAACCTGATTTAGTTATTAAAGCTCATCAATCTAAAACTGAATTAGATCGTTTCCTTTTAATTGTTAAATGGTATTTATCAGGTTGGCATATTGCTCCAAAAGCTGTTAAAAAACCATTAAACCCAGTATTGGGTGAATATTTTACATCTTGGTGGGATTTATCAAATGGTGATCAAGCTTTTTATATCTCTGAACAAACTTCTCATCATCCTCCAAAATCTTCATATTTTTATATGATTCCAAATCATAATATTAGAGTTGATGGTGCTATAATCCCAAAATCAAGATTCTTGGGTAATTCAACTGCTGCAATGATGGATGGTATTACTGTGTGTCAATTTTTGGATATCTTGGATTCCAAAGGTCAACCTGAAAAATATACTTTAACTCAACCAAATATGTATGCAAGAGGTATATTATTTGGTAAAATGAGAATTGAATTAGGTGATCATATGATTATAAAATCTCCAACAACGGGGTATTCAATTGATATTGAATTTAAAGTTAAAGGTTTCATTTCTGGTTCATATGATTCAATTGAAGGGATTGTTAAAGATCCACAGGGGAAATCAATTTATGAAATTACAGGAAAATGGAATGATGTTATATATTTAAAAAATTTGACCAACGGTGAAAAAACTGTTTTTTGGGATACCAAAAAATCAAACCCACAACCACCAAAAGTTCGTCCTTTAGAAGAACAAGGTGAATTTGAATCAAGAAATTTATGGAAATCCGTGACAGATGCCCTCGGTCAACGTAATCATGAATTAGCCACCGAAGAAAAATTTAAAATTGAAGATCATCAAAGAGTCCTAAGACAGAAAAGAATTGAAGATGGTGTTGAATTTCATCCAAAATTATTTATAAAATCTAAAAATCCTGATGATGAATTAGAATATTATTTATATAAATCTATACCAAATGATGCTGACCCGGAAACAAAAACAAAATTAATTTTAGAAACTGTACCAATTTTACCTGGTCAAAAATTTACTGAATCTTTTGAAATTCCAGGTTTTAAAAAATTGAGTATTAATGATGATGTTGAATAGTCAATTACCCACCCCCTTATACACCACTACCATGTTTATTGTTTTCCCCTTTTTTTAGTTCTGGTAATTCTTTTTTTGTTTAATATAAACTAACATACAATTTATATATATATGAACCTTTTTTTTCTAATTAATTAATGCTTGTTTGTCTTTGTTTGTTGTTTTGTATTTGTATTTATCCAATTTAATAACCTAATCCAATTTATATGTCTTTTAATTTTTTGTGAAAGGATTAAATCATTATCGAGGTTTTCATTTAATTCATACCAACCATTTTTCAATGAGAATTTGATACCTCGTTGAGATAAGTATTCATTAAATCCTTCAATTTGAAAATTGAGTTCATTTAAATGAATTGATATATTTGATGATTCTAAAATTTTGAAAATTTTCCTTAATGATTCATAAGAAACATTTGAAATTATTTCATTTTGATTTATCCAATTAATTAATTTTTCCAATTTTCTTTGTAACAAATCAATATGATTTGACTCCTGAGGTTTATTTGAGGGAAGTATTAAACCAAATTTTTGTATTTCAAATTTAAAAAATTCTAAATCATCCCATTGAAAAGTCAAAATATCAATATAACAAGACCATGATGCAAAATCATTATTATTCTTAAAACAAAAACCTTCAATAATGTTAATAAGATCCAATTTAATCTTTATATTATAAAATTTTAAAAATTTATATAACCATCTCATAAAATTCCATGCGTAATAATTTGTTGGATGTAATTCACAAGATTTTAAAACAACTTTGATGAAATTCGATATATATCCATGATCCTCTTGAGACGCTTTATATTTCAGTATGAATAATCTCTTATATAAATACCATAATGAGGATGATTTGTTTAATTTATTATTATTTGAATTTAATAATATTTCAACGATTGAAATTTCTTTATCCAAAAATTTATTAGAATCTAAAATTAAATCATGGAAAGGTTCTGATGATGATCTTTTCAAAATATATGAAACTATTTCATTATGAATGTTTATTGATGTATGATTTTCATTTGTTACTAGTAAAATTCCTATAGTCATATAATATAATTCCACAAGTTTATCTTCTTTATATTTAGCTATTGGGAAGTTAGCCATTTTATTCAATGAGGTGAAGACAAATCATTGAATACTTACATATATCAAATGGAATAATTGAATTGAAAATTTCATGACATTCAATGAAAAGTTTTTTTAATGTTGATTTAAATATTATGATTTCAAGTTTATTTTCTTCAACATGATATAAATAATTTGAATTATATTCTGGGATATCTGGACTGAATGTTAACTTTTTGGAATTGTATTCATTTGTTATGCATACTTGATATAGTTCCTTGATTAAGTCTAGTGATGACATTGATATATTATCGTTGTGAAGTTTTATCTTTAATTAAATGTTTGTTTTGGTTATGTTGTTTTTCCTCCGAGTATTTTAAATTTTGCGTCAAATTTACTACAGTTAAGAAGATCATATAAAAATCTAAAATATTAAAATTAAACAATAGCTATAAACAAATAACATAGAATTTAAAAATGAAATAGAATAAACAATATGGAAAAATCAGCCAATTTGAATTCTATCAGAAGCATCCTGGAAATCCTCATCCTCATCATCATCTTCATCTTCATTTTTTGATCTTGAAGAATAAGAAACATAAAAAGAAGCTGCAACAATACCAACAACTAATGTACCTGTAGTGGTGAAGTATTTATCCAGACCAATTCTTGAACCTTCAGATTTCACTGGAGTTTGTCCATAATTATCTGCAGAAGCATTTTTTTCTGATGTTTTATTAACAATTTCAGTCCCATTAACAACTTCTAATTTTTCAGATTTAGATAAATCATCATCAACTTTAGAATCAAGATCAACTTCATTAATTTCTTCATCATCACCTTGAACATCTCTTTTTTTCAGCAGACCAGGCGTTGGACGAGCCAGAGCAGGAGCAGGAGCAGTAGTTGCTGCACTAGCAGTTGTTGTTTCAGTTGTAGTGGTTGGTGAAGTAGTAGTTGTAGTAGTGGTTGTTGATGTTGTTGTAGTAGTTGGATACCATTTTGTCTTCCAAATGGTTTCTTCTTCTTCATAATCTGTAACAGTTTTCTCTGGATACCATTTTGTTTTAACTCTTTCATCAACTTCAGTTTCAGTTTCAATAGATGTAACAGAAAGGGTCTTTTTATATTCAGTAGTTGTTAAATTAGCAACAGTTTCAGTAACAGTTTCTTGTGCAGTTTTAGTTTTCGTTGTAATATCTTCGAAATCAGTTTCAGTTATTGTAAGATTTTTGGTTTTAACAAAAGTAACTGTATTATCAGACTCTTCATATTCAGTAACTGTGATATTTGGAATAGTTTTAGTTTTGGTATTTGTTAAGGTACTAGTCACTTCAACCGTATCAAATTCAGTAGTTGTTCCTTTGAATTTTGTATAAATTCTTTTAGGTATATACTCAGTTAAAGTATCCTCCCAAACTGTAGTAGTCAAGGTTGAATATGTTTCATACTCAGTTTCAGTTAAAGTTGTTGGTCTAACCCTTGTCTTAATGGATGTGACAGTCGATGGTTTATCTTTGGGAAACTCTTTGGTTTTGGAAGGTTCAGGTTTTGGCTCAGGTTCAGGCTCAGGTTTTGGTTCAGGTTCAAGAGTTGATGCTGGTGGTTCAGGTTTCACTGTTTCAGTTTCAGTTTCAGTTGTTGTATCATAAATTGTAGTGACATTTGGGGCTCCACCAGTAAACGTAATATAATTGGTTTTTGTTACATGTTTAGTAACATCTTTATAAACAGTTGTTGTGAATGTACCATTTTGATCTGTTTCACCAGCTGTATCTATGCCTAGAGCACCAAATTGAATCATACCATATTGATCCTGTTTTCGTATACTGGTTGATGAAGTGGTTGTTGATGGAATAGCTGTTGATGGAGTGGTTGTTGATTGGGTTGATGGTATGGATGATGATAAAGAAGCTTTCGAGGGAGAACTCTTTGTTGTACTTGTACTTGTTTTACTTGCTGCAGGTATGGTTCTTGTACGAGTAATAGTTTTGAATTTTGATGACTTTGAACTTGTAGGTTTTGGGGAACTTGCAAATGTATGTTCTTCAAGAATATCATCATAAATGGCATTTATATCATAGTTTCTTTTATATAGATTTTCTCTTGGATAAACATCTATCCCTTTCGAAAACTTTGGAAGACGTGAGCCTTTTTTTTTAATCTTTGTTGTATCGATAGGTCTTACTGAGGTTAATTTAACCCCCTTAGATGATTTATCCTTCACGTGTTTTAGTGGATTAGAGGGTCTAGGAGCTTCATTTCCTGAAGTTTTGAACTTTACTTCAGATTCAAAATCTTCTATATCTTCATATTTGAAATCTTTTTCTGCACTTTTAACTTTTTTCAATTCAGAGTTTCGAGTATTGTTTCCTTGCAACTCATCAGTACTAGAAGTATTATAGCCATTATCGGTAATATCAGATGTACTCGTATAATCCATAGAATCAAACGACTTCATTTTACCATCTTGATAAACTATTTCATCTCTCTCATAATCCAGCTTGTTTTCAGTCAAATCTTTGAAAAATTTTGGCCCATCAACAAGATAATTTTTCTGACCTTTAATTTTCTTTGGCTTATTTGGCATCTTCTTTTTGAATTTATTTTTATTTGGAACTCCAAAACTTTTGCCATGCTCTGATGGTTTTTCTTCAGCAGCCACGGTGATTGAATTTATTTTCTTTATAATCTTGCTATCCATACTTCCAGTTTTCGCAAATGCCTTTGCCCTAGCTTTCCCAAGAATGTTTGTTCTCTTTGGTCTAACTGAACGACGAACTTTGGACAGTGTATCCTTTTCATGATAAAGAACGTTAGATTCGTCATCTTCGTCAAAATCTTCAAATTCTTCAGCAAGTAATTCATGTGAGTTTTCACGCTTGTATCTATTATTAACCCTAGAACTATACCTAATATTGTTTTTCATCTTTCTTTGAAGATTATCCAGGTTAACATTGACAGGCAGCTGTTGAAAGTAGACTTGATCGGCTTCATGCGAATCTTCAAATCCTGAAAATATATCAATTTCACCAGCGGCTTGAATATTTGTATCACCTGATAAATTCTTCTCTAGCTTTGATTTTGCTGAATCTTTAGTATTATCATGGTCATTATATTCTTGAACCTTAATACCTTGTTTAGTATTTTTTTCTTCAGTTTTCTTTACACTACCAGCTGGTTGTGCGCTCTTATCTTCAGATTTGGAAGCTTTTTTCAGACGATGCTTCTTTTTTGTATGATCATCAGGATTGTCATTTGAAATGCTTTTGTTTTTGGTACTTCTTGGTTCTAAATCTTCTGAAGTATCTTCCCTTGTGAATAAATACTTCACTGGTTTAATTTTGCAAATATCACGAACATAACGCTTGTATCTTAATTTTTCATGCAAAAGTTTGCAATTTGGATCATAACAAACCTTACTGAAGTATTTACCAAAACAACAAGCACAGCGGCATTCATCATATGCGTTGTTATTAACACAATAAGGACAGAAATGTTCAGGATCTTCAGATAAATTTCTTATACCATCCTTGATACACATCTTGACTTCTTTCTTATCACATTTTGTTGTATCATAACCAGGTAAAAATGGAGGAATTTTGCAAACTGATTTACCAATATTATCTTCAACATAACCACCCTCATCCGTTTTGTCTCCACCTCCTATTGGTGATCTAGCTTTCAACTCATACCTTTCAGATTCCAGAGACTCTTTTTCATCAGAATCCTGTTCATCATCCACTTGACCACTTTCTTCTTTTCCTTGTTCTTCTTGTACCTCTTCCTCCTCATCATTTTCTTCAACTTCTGGGAATGGCGCTTCTCCATTAACAACATGTGAATCAGCATACTTGGTACAGATCAAATTTGCAATTTTCTTGAACTCTTTGACTGGTTTTTTACTCAGACAATGAGATTTTGCACATTCAGCCATTTTGATTTCAAGACAACAGGCATTATTACAATCATTTTGATCCTTCTCAAATTCTAAGCACTTGTTATTTTTATAGTGGTTTTTGCAATAAAATAAATCTCTAATATCACAACTATCAAGATTGAAACGTAAATAATCTTTAAGATCGTTATTTTCCATTTCACATTTATCAAGAACAACCAGAGCTCCCAAATCATTTGGAGATTGGTTTTGAGTTGATAGTGATGGTGATTGAATTGAGGTTTTGTATATCAACTCATTTTTGACTTCCTCAACTTCATCTGATATACCCAATTTTTTAGCGACATCACCTATATGTGTTAAGAAGTTGACCCTTTTTTCAATTTCATCTTCATTCAATGCATAATTATTAATACTAATTCCACTAGGTTGAATTTCACCTTCAGCTTCACCTTGACCTTTTGTATCTTCAGTTTGTTGGGACTTCAAACAAACTTTTGCATTAAATTCATTGAATTCTTCAATAACACCATCAAATTTATGATCACCAAAACTTTCTAAGCAGATTTTCATTGCATTACCTAAACCACATTGGCATTTACATTCAAACCCAGTATCACAAATTTTAAGATACACTTCAGCAACAAACAAATAACACCCTGCTACAGCATCTGTGAATGGACCTTGGGAATCCCATGGATTATCAGGCGAAGACAATTCATCCAAACATGATTTACTATCAGGCTCACCGACCTCTGGAAGTGATCCAGTGAACTGTTGTTTTGCTTGTTCAAAAGCGATAAGAAAATTTTCCTTATATTGCTCACCAAATGATTGAGACATGACGTTAAAAAAGTCATCAGCGTTAACAGAATAAAGCAAAAGAATATCATAAATATTTCCCAAACTAAGATCTCTTCCTTCTTCTTTAAGCGCCCCAACAGATTCTAAGATTTCTTCATCTGTGAGCTTTGGTTTTTCTCTTTTTGCTAAATTTGAGGAAGCTGTTTCATCATCCTCATCATCCTCCTCATCATCCTCTTCATCGTCGTCATTCTCATCACTTTCATAATCTTGATCATCTTCATCATCTTCGAGATAATCCTCCGTTTGATCCAAGATATTATCATCATCTTGAGGACTGGCAACTGTATCAACTTCCTCTATGACTTGAGAAGTATTTGCAAAGTCTTCCAGATCCTTTTCAGTTGAACTTTCTTCTTGTGCAGCAGCTTTATCAGATTTCGGCTTCTGTTCTTCTAATGGTTTTTTGATAGGATGTTCTTGAGAATTATCACCAGGTAAAGATAAGGAATCAAGATCAAAGACAAATGATAGTTCAATAAAGAAATTATCCTTTTCAGGTCCAAGTAATGATCTATAAACAGAATTATTGTTGGAAACAAACAATTCAACACCTTGTGCGCCAACTTCAACATAATAATCCTCTTCATCTTCATCTTTACCAAGCTCAATTTTGTCACTTGGATTACCAAATGATTTTCTCTCTTTTGGTCTATAAGGTCTGATATTTTTTCTAACTGGTGAATTATCACATATGGATTTGGTATATTTATATAGACGAACAAATTCATCATCATCTTTACAAAGTCTTTTAAAACAATAATTTTGTAAATATTGATACCAACAACAAGTACAAGAACAATCGAAATCTATATTGAAGCTTAAATCTTTGTCACTACCATCGTCAGCAAGTGAACAACCTTCACATAAGAACTTATCTTCATAGCCGCTCTGGTAACATTTGGCAAATTCACTGGACTTGTGGGTTTATAGTTAGAATAACGGCTCCAGATCATTAGAATAGAGAGTGAGTGGTAAAAAAAGGTATCAAATCATACACATGATTGCAAACTAATAGGTTTCTCAATATCATAATAGTGAGTACATTTGTCAACATCTTCTTGCTCTTCTAAAAACTTGCGAAGAATTGGTGGACCCGCCAGAACATTACCAATGTAAAACCAATCGATGAAAATAACCGCCAATAAGGTCTTAACTAAATGCGTAGGCATCATGAACAAACCTTCCCTAGTGATTTCAACAAGGCGCTTAGCTATTTCACCAATATCAATGGAATATTTGGATGTGAATTGTAAAAATTAAGAAGATAGATTGAGTTGTATGAAATTTTGGAATTAAGTAACATTTTTTTTTTGGCGTCAAGGTTTTGTTTTGATTTCATCTTGGTGATTTCCCCAGAAACCAAAAACTTTACCAATTGAAAGCAAAATGAACTTTTAAGCCTGAGATTAAACTTGAATGAAGATGAATTGTGATGGATAAGATATGAGTTTATGTTGAATTAAATCTGTATCGATGCTTGAATCTGAAGATCACTTGCATCCAAATATAAAGATCATGTTATAAAAACTTCATATAACTTTGTAAGTAAATCTGAAAAAGTTCATGTAATCAAGATCCAATATTGAAGCCTTGAATATAAAATCACCAATCAATGCCATTATAACATCTATTAATCTTCCAAATAATCATTTAATTAATTACTCATATTGTTATCACCAAACTTAGAGCTCCTCCTACTCTACCAAACCATGATATAATTTCTCCTATCTTTCTGACATCAGCTGAACAGTGTCAGCACACCACCACTGCACCCATTAAACGACAAATAATCACGATACTCGACGATAGATCTAACTCCATCATGCACTTAATAACGGTCCGTCTCCATACAAATTTAACCATCAACCTATCAAATCGTACCATTCTTGATTACACAAGCCTCTGGATTCTGGATTCTGGAGTGCGAGTTCTGTTCTCGTACCACATTTTTTTTACTCACCAGCAATTTCTTAACAGATGAAAATAAAATGGGCTGAGGTCTTTAGCAAAGCTCCAGCGTAACTTTGAGCACACAAGTGAGAGTTGGTGTCGCTGAATTACCAGAAAACGCGTATAAGAGCGCGTATATATCAGAATGGCACATTCCAAAAAATACCAATAAATTAACGACCATTAAAATCGGGAATAAAATAGTCAATAGTACATTAAAATATACGTAAAAAACGCTGAGAAAGGGTCCAAAGTTCCACAGGATGTAATGATCTCTCCAGAGAGAAATCCCACCTCCTATTTCTCTCCTTTCTGTGTAATTTTAGTACCAATATTTTGATTATTAGACGGTCGTTTATTTTCATTTGAAAAGATCGCGAAAGAAATCAAGCAAAAAAAATCAAAATATCAATAAGGAATTTTGTTTAGCCTTAAACGAGCACAGTTTTTGTATAAAAGTCCAGATTTCCTCAGTCGTTTTTGAACATCTCATCAATAAATCAACTTGTTGAAACAGGTCACTGTCAATAATCATATCCTCAGGCTTCAAGATAAACTGAAATCATCCAATTCTTTCACTTTTTCGTTTGGATAAATAAATAGAAATATAAGAATTACTGAATTTCTACAAAAAGATTTCATAGCGGATATTGAATTTGACATTATACTATAAAGAACAAGATGGCTCAAACTGCTGAATTAATAGAAAAGGCTAGGGACGTCCTTACATTCCTTTACATCGGATTCTTGGAATTGCCTTTATATCAAAGAATTTCAATTTTATTATTCTCTCCGTTCATTTATAACATTGTTTGGCAATTCTTATACTCTTTAAGAAAAGATAGAGTTCCATTAGTTTTCTACTGGATCCCATGGTTCGGTTCAGCTGTTCCATATGGTATGCAACCATATGAATTCTTCCAAGATTGTCAAAAAAAATATGGTGATGTCTTTGCTTTCGTTTTATTAGGTAAAGTTATGACTGTTTATTTAGGTCCAAAAGGTCATGAATTTGTTTTAAACTCGAGATTAGCTGATGTTAGTGCTGAAGATGCTTACAAACATTTAACTACTCCAGTTTTCGGTAAAGGTGTTATTTATGATTGTCCAAACCATAGATTAATGGAACAAAAAAAATTCGTTAAAGGTTCTTTAACAAAAGATGCTTTTAGATCATATGTTCCAAAAATTAGAGAAGAAATCTTGTCATATTTCCAAAAATCTAAAAATTTCAAAGTAGGTGAAAAAAGATCTGGTGAAATTAACGTTATGGCTACTCAACCAGAAATTACCATTTTCACAGCTTCAAGATCTTTATTAGGTGAAGAAATGAGAGCCAAATTAACTGAAAAATTCGCAGGTTATTATTCTGATTTAGATAAAGGTTTCACTCCAATTAACTTCGTTTTCCCAAATTTACCATTACCACATTATAGACAAAGAGATTTTGCTCAACAAATTATTTCAAAAACTTATATGGAATTGATTGGAAAAAGAAGAGCCAATAATGATATCAAAGATAGAGATTTAATTGATGCTTTAATGAAAAACTCAACTTATAAAGATGGTGTTAAAATGACTGATCAAGAAATTGCCAACTTATTAATCGGTGTTTTAATGGGTGGTCAACATACTTCTGCTGCTACTTCCGCTTGGTTTTTATTACATTTGGCTGAATACCCTGAAATCCAAGATGAAATTTATGCTGAAATAATGAGAGTTACTGGTGGTAATGATGTTACTTATGAAGATTTACAAGAAATGCCATTAGTTAACAATGTTATTAAGGAAACTTTAAGAATGCATATGCCATTACATTCAATTTTCAGAAAAGTTAATAGACCATTACCAGTTAATGGTACTTCATATGTTGTTCCAAAAGGTCATCACGTTTTAGTTTCCCCAGGTTTTGCCATGACTAATGATGCTTATTTCCCACATGCTGATGTTTATAACCCACATAGATGGGATGAATCTGAAGAAGCTAAAGCTGAACAAGATTCCAAAACTGTTGATTATGGGTTTGGTGCTGTTTCTAAAGGTGTTAGTTCTCCATACTTACCATTCGGTGGTGGTAGACATAGATGTATTGGTGAACAATTTGCTTATGTTCAATTAGGTACTATCTTGACTACATACATTAAAACTATGAGATGGAAATTACCAGAAGGTAGAGGTGTTCCACCAGTTGATTATGCATCAATGGTTACTTTACCAACTGATCCAGCTGTTATTGAATGGGAATTAAGAGAACAAATTTAATAGAATCATTATTATGATATTATAGTTCATTTTATTTTTATAATGCTTTTGTTTTAAAAAATTTCATTTCTGGTTAACATTAACACTTATTTATATAAAAATTATCATTTTCTATCTCATTTTTAATTAATACAAGAAAGTCATGTAGAAACAATAGCTTTATGTAGTCTACATTATACTCCAACCTCTTCAGTACTGATATTCATAAGGATAATTAAGTGTACATTATAACATTAAATATCGGGATTAAACACGACAAGTAAGTAATCATGATTCCTGCTCAACAGTTTCATTTTCTTTTATTTCCTTATTGTCATTTTCTTTAATATTTTCTTCATCAGCTTTATTGGTTTTTTCTTCTTCTTGATGATTGTTTGATTCTTGTTTTGTTTCGTGACCTTTTGGCCCTTCTTCATTGTCTTGATGTTCGTTCAACTCATCTTTTACATCTTTAGTTTGAGAATCTTGTTCATCTTTCTTAATATTATCTTTTTCATCATCATTTCTATAATTATCAGAGTTCAATAAATCTGCAGTATTTTCTCTTTGACTTGTACGCGGTTCTGATTTTTCATGATCATGTCTATCAGTAGTTGAACCAGGAGCAGAAGCTGGAATAGATGTAGTACCTGATAATCCACCAGTTTCTAAAGCTTCACCATTATCCAATTTTTGTTTTTTTTGTGAATCTTTACGTTTTTTTTCTTCTAATTTTTGTTGTTCACGTTCTTTTCTTCTTTTCTTTTTAGCTTCAAATTCATGCCATTCACCATTTAATTTTTCTTCATCTAAAGATTCAGGTAATGGTTCTTCTTTAAAATAATCATGTTTTAGTGCATCTTTTGAAGTGATTCTTTTAGATGGATCATATTTCAACAATTGTAATGCCAAATCCAAACAATTTGCTGATAATCTTTCAGCATAAAGTTCTTTGAAAGTTGATTTATGGAAAGTGGTTGGTTTAACCATTTCATACCATGGTAAATTATCAATCTTTGGCCATTCTTCAAAAGTTGGTGTACCCATAATTTCAAAAATAACATGTAATTGTTGAATTTCATCTTGAGCTTGAAAAATTGCTCTTTTAGTAAATAATTCAACTAATAAACAACCAATTCCCCACATATCAACTTCACGACCATAATCAGTAGTACCTAATAACAATTCAGGAGGTCTATACCATAACGTTATGACTCTATTTGTATAATCTGGTGTTGATGAATTGTTTTTTGATTTCATTTTTCTTGCAAGACCAAAATCTGCAATTTTCAAAACACCTTTTTTATCAATTAAAAGATTTGAACCTTTAATATCACGATGGATAACTCTTTTGGAATGCAAATAGTTCATACCTTCTAATAATTGTTTGAAGAAAAATTTACAATTTGCATCTGTTAATTGAATATCAGGATTTGATAATAATCCAGTAAGATCATGATCAGCATAATCAAAAATCATATAAATTTGCTTTTGTTCAACCATAATTTCTAATAATGTAACAATATTTGGATGATCAAAAGATTGTAAAAGTCGTATTTCTCTCATTGCCGTTATTGGGAATCCTTCACGTTCAGTTTCCATTCTTAATCTTTTCAAAGCAACAAATTCATTAGTTACAATGTTTTTAGCTTTATAAACTTTACCATAAGTACCTTCACCAACTTGAACAACACGTTCATAAATTGTGGAATCTCTTGATGTTTTCAAGAATGATACGGTCTCTGGTGTTGGTGTTGGTGGTTGTTTTAGTTGTTGTTGTGATTGATTGAACTGTTGCGATCTCTGAGATGGACCACGACGATATGGATATGATGATGATGATGACTGACGTTGATTTTGTGGACTTGAATTGTTATTTCTTTGTGGTATAAATGTGTTTGTTGGTGGTCTATAGATTCGTCCATTATTATAGCGAGAATCCCGTACTGTTGGTTGATTGGTATTTGCCTTTGGTAATTTGAACGACATCTTTTTTGGGCCCTTTGGGGCATTCACCAGACCAAATGGTCTCTTTGTCCCACTTTCTGCTGATTCAGAATATGATGATGTTGATTGTGCCGATGAATCTCTTTGTTCTCTTGATCTCAGTGGCGATTTTGAACGAGGCCTCACACTAAGACCATTATTACTATGACTATGACTATGACTATGACTATGACTATGACTATGACTATTATGATTATCTCTATCTCTTTGTGATGATGCAATGGTTGGTCTTGAAACACGATCTACTCTATCATCAAATCTTCCACGATCATTCCCACCATAATAACGATCTCTTGGACCACCACGATTCATCGAACCTTGATGTCTATTATCCCTTCTATCATGATTGTTGGCGTGATATGTATCTCTAAAACCTCTATTCCCACTACCACGAGGAGCCGAAGCTGATGGACCTGAGGGTATATACGTTCTGCTGCTCTTCTGCTGCTCATTTCGAGATCTATCTTCATCAGGTCTTTGGCCTAAAATGAGAGAGTTAGTAATTATTTTTCATTTGTCCATTAACTTATAGCGCTAAAACAATTGATATTAATCGTTTAGAGCTCCATTGGAAAACCACATACCTGACATTGTGTACAGCGATTTTGTCTCTCAGTCCAATATCAATTCCAGAATAGCACACACTAAAGATGATATAAGATCAATATAATTGAAACTCCTAAAATAACTTTGAATTACCGTGTTTGTTTTCCAATATCAAACACTTTAAATTTCCATGTTTTTTTTTCTTTATGAAAACCAAAACCATCACCAAAAAATTCATAAAACCCATTCGCGAATTTTCTATTTAGTATTATGTTGGCCATACCGGGATTTGAATAAACTACCATAAACTTGAAAACTTTTAAAATGAATATTTAAAATGTATAAAATTATGTATTTTTCAAGTGAAATTTGTGTGATGAAATAACAAACCCCTTGTGTATGTAAGCTATAGTTTATGAACAGGGATAGAAGTCTGTTATGTTCAAAACACTAATAAATATATAAAATAAAACAAGTGTATAGAAAAAAAAAATTATATGAACTCGAAAAACCAAAAACTTTAAAATAACATGACATATAACTTAAAACCACTTTTTTTTAATTTGGACAGCTTATACTATTAATAAATAAGTGACCCCTTTTATTTTTGAAAACTCCCCTGGATTGTTTTTATGAATTATGCAAGAAATAAAGAAATGAAAGACAAAATACAGAATCAAGTTTAAATTAATTAGTTTAATGTAAACCATTAGTACGTTGAGCACGTAATGCCTTTTGTTGTTTCTCCACTTCAGCATCGAAAACAATAAATTCATCTAAAGCTTTACCACCTGGAACCATTGGTAAGACTGGAACTTTCTTTTCAACTAAAACTTCTAATAAAACAGGTTCTTTAGCTTCAATAAATTCTTTTAATTTTGGTAACATTTCTTCTTGAGTTTCAATTCTAATACCTTTGAAACCCATAGCTTGAGATAATAACATAAAATCAGGATTAGTTTGATGTGTATGAGAATAACGATGTTCATAAAATAATGATTGCCATTGAGTAACCATACCTTGTTCTTCATTATTTAAAACACAAACTTTAACTGGAGCTTTAGCTTGAACTGCACTTGACATTTCCATTAAAGTCATGTTAAATGAAGCATCACCATCAATATCAACAACAATAGCATCTGGTTTAGCAATTTGAGCACCAATAGCAGCTGGTAAACCATAACCCATGGTACCTAACCCACCTGATGTTATAAAAGTTCTTGGATTTTTCCAAGTCCAATGTTGAGCAGCCCACATTTGATGTTGACCAACACCAGTGGTAACAATAGTTTCTCTACCTGATTCATTACAAAGTCTTGAAATTTCAGCAATTAAAGTTTGTGGTTTAACTTTTGAACCTGGAGTTTCTCTTTGATAATCATATGGATATTTACGTTTCCATTCTTTAATTTGATTAAACCATGTTGGTCTTTCATCAACTTTTTTAATTAATGGTAAAAAACTTCTTAAATTTTGTGTAACATCACCTTCAACAGCTTCATTTGCTTGAACAACTTTATTAATGTTTTTAGCACTGATTTCAAAATGAACAATACCACCTTTACCTTCTAAAGCGGCTTTTTTAGCAGCTGGAGCAAATTTAGAAATGTTACCAGTAACACGATCATCAAATCTTGCACCTAATGCAATAATTAAATCAGCATTTTGCATAGCTAAATTAGCAAAAGCAGAACCATGCATACCCAACATATCTAAAGATTTTGGATCTTCTTGATCAAATGCACCTAAAGCTTGTAAAGTAGTTGTAACTGGGATTTGAGCTTTATCAGATAATTCTTTTAATAATTTTGGACCATCTTCACTATTTAAGATACCAGCACCAACGTATAAGACTGGTTTTTTGGCTTGATTTAATAAATTAGCAGATCTTTTGATTGAAGCTAAAACAAATTCAGTTGTAGCGGCTTTAGTAATTTCTTCTAAAGTATTTGAAGGAATTGTAGATTTAATTGGAATAGCTTCTCTCAAGATAGCAGCGGTAACATCTTTTGGTAAATCAACTAAAACTGGACCTGGTCTACCACTAGTAGCGATTTCAAAAGCTTCATTAATACGTCTTGGTAATTCTGAAACATCTTTAACCATAACGTTCCATTTAGTACAAGATCTTGAAATACCAACAACATCAGCTTCTTGGAAGGCATCAGTACCAATAGCACTTGTAGCAACTTGACCAGTGAAAACAACTAAAGGAACACCATCGGCAAGAGCATCAGCCATTGGTGTAACAACATTGGTGGCACCTGGACCTGATGTAACTAAAACAACACCTGGTTTACCACAAGCTCTAGCATAACCTTCAGCCATATGACCAGCACCTTGTTCATGTCTTGGTAAAACGAAGTTGAATTTTTCAGAGTTATAAATGGCATCATAAACTGGTAAGATAGCACCACCTGGATAACCGAAAACAGTATCAACTTTATGTCTCATCATCATTTCATGGAAAATTTGACCACCTGTAAGTCCTACAAATGAATCATCAAGGGCTTGAGTTTGATTTTTCTTGTTTAATGGAGATGGTGGTTGGATCTTGGATTCATTTGTATTTATAGTTTGAGCAAATTGTGGAGCAGGTTTTGGTCTTGTAGCTGTTGAAGTTGTAGCATTAAATCTTTTGTTGATGATTGAAGTTAAATTTTTAGAATTATTTTTCAATAAATGGTAAGAACGACGACCAGAGTTGGTCTTTATGGCACTTGAAATCATGATCTATTGTGAGTAGATATATGACAAGTGAATGAAGTAGTAGCACAAGTGATAAAAAAGAAGTGCAACTATATTTCTTTGTATATCTGGGGTTGAAAAAGTTGTGAAAATATAAAAAAAAGATCAATTTTAATTCAATTTATGAAAGTTCACTTTTCAAAAAAAATCAAAATGAATCATTTTTTTCAAATTGTCAGAAATGGAAAAAATTGACGTTTTGGCGCATTCGAGTTTTTTAGATTTACGCAAAAAATTCGCTTTCAAGCTAAACCATTTAGACGGTTTGCGGGTATCTTTCGCGGGTATCTTTCGCGGGTAGGAATAGGTAATAACAGGGGATAATCATAGTAAAGAATTGCTTGGTATTTATAAGATTATGATGGTATATAATTATGGGACTGCTATTTCATCCAAAATAAATTTCAAGAACCCTACCTTAACAGAAAGGCATCAATTTGCCCTTCAATGCTCATTGATTCTGTGTGTATCAATTCAGCCCCCGGCACAGGCTTTTCTTTTGTAAAGTTTTGAAAGCGTGACACACCGTCACCGGAGATTCCAGCTTCTTACCTGATTCAGCAATTTTGCACTTTTGCGCAATTTCCATTGATTTTTTTCCTTTTAAACAGAAGAACGAATTTTTGAATTTTTTTGAATCTTTGAGTCATCAAGAAACATTTTAAGAAGTTGAAGAGTTGACAATTGAAGAGTTGAGTCATAGATATTCTATTTTATCGGAATTTGTGGATTTAACTTGACGTTATTGTCAGTCATCTATCCTTTAAATAGCCTAATGCACATCACAATGGTATGGCTGTAGCGTATTAACCTTCTATTAACATCTTTGGTAAAATATCCATGATCGCTAAGACCGTTGAAAGTCTAAACTTCAATATTCATTTGAGGTCTATATATGTGATTATACGACTAGAATATAGTATAAGAATTAAGTAGTAAGTACTCATCCTTCATTGATCTTCCTTATTTATGACTTTATACCTGTCAAGTTTGATACTTTAGTACCCCAGATTCAGAACTCGTATCGGGTCTATGCACATCCGATATGATCCGGGTGTCATAAAACACCAAAACACCTACCTACCTTTTACGTCTTCTATTCATGCTGATTAAATGTTGATTATTATATAAAACAATTATAATATAATATTATGAAGATACTCTATATTTAACGAATGCACATACTGGAAAACACACAAAAAGAATTAAATTTATAAACTCCCGAGCCTCTTAATAAATTCTTTCATAATACAAAACATAAACTTCACTACTTGCCAGATGTGAATGATTACGAATATCACCATGATCTGTAGTTTTAACAACTTCATCATCAAAATAATACCATGCTGGTTCTTGTAAATTATGTCCCAATGCCTTATTTGTAATTGATGTATAATGACCTGATTTTAAAGTACCACTATGATTAACAACTCCAAATAATTTATATTTAATTGTGGTGCCTTCATGATTAAATTCCAAAATTAATGGATATTGAACAATACTATTATCTTTGGTACTTAAATCATAAAATAAAAATCTTGATAAATGAATAATTAAAATTGGTGGTAATTTAACAAAATTTAATGATTTAATTGATTTGGAACTTGATTTTTTTGATGACATTGATGATGGTTTTTTAGAAGGTGATGATGATCTACTTGATCTAAATCTAAATCCATTACCAAAATGTAATCTATGTTTCCTTGAATCTCTTGAACTTGAACTAGTTGATTCTGTAGTACTTGATGAAGGTATTGATAATGAATTTGAATTTGAATTACTAGATTTTTTCTTATGTTGTTCTGAACATTTTGGACAATCCCATGCATTTTCACCTGTTAATATTTCTTCATTTGTAAATAAATTAATACAATCTTCTAATTGAATTTTTTTCAATTTTTTACCAAATGTATTAATTTTTGGTATAACAAGACTTAACATATAAAAAGTTGAATAATTTGATGATTCAAATCCACATGTCATACATTTTAATGAATCTTTTAATTGACCTTGGAAAATTTCACTAATTGGTGATAAACCTTGTTTAATTAAACCTTCAGTCCATTTACTATAATCTTCACCTAATGATGAATCATATGACATTAATCCAGGGAAATCATTAACAACTGAATTTGAATTTGATAATTCATCATGTAATTGATCTAATAAAAACATTAAAAATTCTTGAGTATCTTGTTGTTCTGATGGAATTTTCAAATCTGGTCTTAATTGATTACAAATTTTTAAAAAACCAGATGGTACAACTGAACAACCACCATTTAGATACATTTTTTTAAATAATGCAGCAATTAATGGTGATATCTTAGGTTTGTTAAATTTTGGATTTATATATGATTCAAATTGTTTATTTAAAAAAATATCACGAAATTGGGTACTTGCAAATAAACATTGAATCATACTGTTTATATAACATGTGTTTCCTAAATTTCTTAAACCTGTTATACTTAATCTTGTCATTGGATTTTGTGATCTTTGTAAAGTTGGTATACTATCAGTACGTGATCTATTTGATACTTGATATTGTTGTTGTTGTTGAGATTGTGATGATTGTTGGAAAGATTGTAATTGTGGTGCACTTTGCATAATATTGGGTTGAGATTGTGATGGTACTTGTGAAGACGGTTGACCATACCACTGTTGTGATTGATATTGTTGTTGTGGATAAGCTGGTGAATATTGTTGATGTTGATTCATCTGATAAGATTGATTATATGGTGGTTGATATTGATGATATTGATCGGGTGGTACAGGAGGAGCTTGTTGAGGTCTTGAATAAGGTGTAAGATGTGGTGGAGGAGGTGGTGGCACGTTGGAAGGTGGATTGAATGATCTGGATGTAGTTTGATTTGTATCAATAGGAATAGATGGTTGCGCCTCATGTGAAGATTGATATTGTGGTAAAAATTTTGTATAATCATATGGTGGAGCCGATGCACTTTGTTTAGGTGGTGATGGTGGTGGTACTGAGGGTGGAGGTGGCACAGCAATTTGTGGTTGTGGTTGTTGAATTGGAGTTCTTCTTGCCTTAAATTTCAGGACTCTATGTGATTGATTAATTTTGGTAATATATTTCAACCATGAATCAAATCCACCTTTCAACAATTCAATGGAAACATTTGATGATATCAGTGATCTAAATTTTGTAATATAATCAAAATCTGATTCTAAAAAGCATTTGTTATCTGTATAAACAATAACAGAATCAAATGATTTCATATTTTTGAATTTAATATAATCTTGTTCTATTAATATGGTTTTCAAAATATCCTTAAGACTTTGATAATCTGAAACATCAATGAAATTTGAAGGATCAATATTTAAAACATGATCATATTCAATATGATTAATTTGGAAACTTTTAACTCTTCTTAAATCAATAATTAAATAAAAACTTTTACCAGAATCTAAATCCTCATATAAATCCTTTGATGAAATTGTTGGTAGTTCATTCAATTCATCTTCATCTTCATTAACATAAACTGATTGATAAGAACCTTTTCTTGCTTGACGTTTCTTTAAATATTCTTCTTCGGGTATTTCATCAACACTTGGTTCTTGTAAAGGTTCTTGTAATGGTGGATATTGAGTTATAGGTTGAAATTCTAATGGTAATGTCTTTGCATGATTAAACTTGAATTGTGATGGTGCTGGTAACCCATTTTCCAATGAATTATTAGGTAATTCTTGTAATTGAGCGCCATTTGGCAGTTGAGATTGAGATGCTAGCGCTGGCGGCGGTGGAGGAGGTGGTGCATGTGATGGTAATTCTGGTATTTTGGCTAATGAATCAGATGAAAAATTATTATCAGATACTAATTTTAAATGATCATTTGGTTGTAAATCTGGAGGTGACCAAAGTTCTTCCTCCACAATTGATGAATTTGTTGATGATGAACTTGATGATGGAGGTGAAAGGTTATTGGTTTCTAAGCTTAATTCTTGTGCTTGTTTTGCCAATTGTGATAGGTCTTGTTGTAATGCAGATGATGGTAATGTATTTGACCTTAGTTTAGATTTTGATCTTAAAAATTCAATATGATTATTTGTAAATTTCTCATTTAATACTCCGACATAATCCACAGTTTGTAACTTCACATTTGACATATTGATATCTTTTTCAAACATTTGTTTCAAAGATATAAAGAATTCATAATTTTTATTTTTGATTTGAAATTGTATAGAATTGGGTACAATTAAATAAATATAAAACAATCCAACAATATAATACCTTAGACATTTTTTAAAATCACCTTTTAGTAAATCTTCTTTATAATGTTCATAGCTTATACTTATGATCTCTATCAGATCTATCATCTTGTGCAATTTAAGATCATTCAAATATGGTTTAATTTCCTCCTTATAAACATTGATGATGACACTGAGTAATTCATCAGAATATTCTGGAGTATAGCCCAGATTAACAGCTGGGTCCAAAGTTGGCATTTTATCTATTGTGTTTTCCAAATCACCAACTAATATTAGATCCCGCTTTGTATATACCTGTATACCCGCTCAGTAGTTGTCCGTTATCTTGAGTTGTTCTCGTAATTTTTAGATCGAGGGCTTTTCTTTATTGATTTGATGGCTTTATTTTTATGTCAAAGAATAGGCTTATATAATTCGCGAAAAGATCACCATATTAAAAATTACATAATCATAATAGTTGATCTAAATTTACCCTGCAAATCATCAAACAATATTAAACAACTACAAAAGATCAGATCACAAGTGCATCATCATTAAAAATGTTATAAATAAGAAGAGATAGCGGAATCAGTTGTGTGTTGGCATTGAAGTTGATGGTTTGGAATCTTCAATCAAACTTGTCTTCCAAAGACTAGTTATAGTCTTAGCTTGAGTCAAGAATGTGAAACCAGCTTTACCATAGAAATTCAAATCACCATTAAATGATCCTTTATTACCAGTGAATGAAAACATTGGTAATGGAACTGGAATTGGAACATTAATACCAACTTGACCTGGATCAATCTCTTTGGTGAATTTCTTAGCTTGAATTCCTGAAGTTGTAAATAATGCAACACCATTACCATAAGGATTTGAATTAACAATTTCAATAGCTTCATCTAATGTATCAACACTTAAAATACTTAAAACTGGAGCAAAGATCTCTTCTTTATAAGCAATATTATCTCTTGTAACATTTGTTAAGATTGTTGGTCCAAGGAAATAACCATTTGGGAATCCATCAACTTTAATATCACGACCATCTAATACTAAATTTGCACCAGTTTTAACACCTTCTTCAATAATATCATGTGCTCTTTGTAAAGCTTGTTTTGAAATCATTGGACCTAAATCAGATTTTTTATCAAAACCTGAACCAACATTTAAATTTTTAGCAGCTTCAATAACATCTGGAATCCATTCTTTTGTTGAACCAACAGTAACTAAAACACTTGCAGCCATACAACGCTGACCTGCAGCACCTGCAAAAGCACCAGTTATAGAATTAACAAATTGTGCTTTATTAGCATCTGGAACAACAACAACATGGTTTTTAGCAGCTAAATTTGCTTGAACACGTTTTTTATTCGATGTACCTTTTGTATAAATATAATCACCGGCTTTAGAAGAACCAACAAATTGAATAGCTTTAATATCAGGATGATCTAAAAGTTTATTAACAGTTGGAACTTTACCATGAATTATATTAATAACACCTGATGGAACACCAGCTTCAATAAGTAATTCTGCAAAGATTAAACATGCGCCTGGATCTCTTTCTGAAGGTTTAATAACCGCTGTATTACCTGTAGCAATAACCATTGGAATTGTCCATAATGGAATCATTGCAGGGAAATTGAATGGACAAATTGCACCAATAACACCTAAAGGTTCTCTAATCATCAAAGTTTCCAAATCAGTAGCAACTTCCAATTGAACACCTTGTAATTCAGTAGTAACACTGGTGGCATATTCTGCAACTTGTAAACCTCTTAAAACATCACCTTTAGCATCATCAAAATTCTTACCTTGTTCAGCAACAATAACAGCGGCTAAACGATCATGATTTTTCTTCAATAATTCAACAAATTTGAAAACTAATTGTTGTCTTTTAATAATTGATGTATGTTTCCATGTTTTGAAAGTTGTATTTGCAGATTCAATAGCTTCATTTAATTCTTGATCTGTTGATTGTGGAACTTTTGAAATGATTTGATCAGTTGCTGGATCGTGTAAATCAATCCACTCTGAAGTTGTTGATTTGGTGAACTTATTATTAATGAAATTTGGAGTGATGTACGGTTCAGTACCTTTGTCAATATGATCTTTTGGATATGAATCCAATGTGGTATGTAACTTGATTTCACTCATTGTTGTGACAGTTGTTGATAATCTTCTTGTTAAAAAGTGTCTTGTTGAAGGGAGGAATAATTTAGAAACTTTGAAAACTATTCTATTAGTGAAGAGCATACAAAATCAAACAGAGAGATTGAATGTTGTATTTATATGCAACTTAGGATACTCAATGCCTTTCATAATCTATCTAGGAACAATATATCTTCCACTTTCACCACTTTTGATACTCGCTGATTAGAGTCCGCAAGTTCATCAAGTACATGACTCTGGAGTAAAATTTGGTGGAAGTTCTTTAACCCTTAAAGTAAATCGCTCACTTATAATTCCGGGGATTGTGACAAGAGAGAGTCAAATAAATATACTCGTATTAATATTGACTATAGATAATGGAACTCTTATCATTAGCTGAAGTAATTCAAATTGAGCGGATCTCGCATTCCTCGTTATTATATTAATGGCTGCAGTACTACATTGTTAGTTGAGTATCCCCCATGTTTTATACTGGTAATTGAATTTATCGAGAGATCTTTTACTAGTTTAATTTCAACATACCCAATTAAACACGGAGATCGGTCTCCACCATACCTCATGTTACAACATACAACGAAATCAAGCACAATTCAAGGCTTTGTTGATCTTGGATACCGATAATTATGAGACAAATATTAAGTCCAATGACTGCTCAGCATATCAAATGTATCATTAATAATCTATAAACTTACATCCAAATATTTTAATAGATTCATAAATCACCTCTACATCTAGTTCCCCCATGTATTCAAAACAGAAGGACAATAGGCAAAAAACTGCGGCCCAAACCAAAATGTGGGGTTATTTTCAAGCACAGTGAGGCTTTTCTGAAAAACACCAAAACAAAA